ATCCCTTGCCCCAGACCGAGAGTTCCTATCTATACCTTGTGGCTAACAGCCACTGATGGACCTCTGCTCCATAAGTTTACCCAATCCCCTCTTGAAGCCGTCCATGCGAAAGACAAGGCATTTTTTAAGATGCCCCCTTCTCGTCGCTGGCCGCAAAACGCTTGCTGGAATGTCAAGGCCTGGCCTTGCTTCCAGATGATAAAGAAATTTGAGTTTGCATGGAATTCTGGGAGAACCGAAAGTACAGGGAGTGGCCTCCCAGCATCCTTCTGTGTGGGCTCTCAAAGTTTGGAAGGGGGGGGTACATGAGGTAGGTTGCTGCCGGCCTCCAGGTGGAAGATTATTTTCAGTATTCAAATAAGGCCTTCCTTTCTTAGGCAAGACGGACTCCCCCCTCGTTCCTTGGCTACAGAATCGAGAAGAACGACTGAAAGGGGGAAAAGAAAGCAGGGTAAAAATATAAACAGAGGGCGATTCGTTTTAAGGAACTAAAAGACACTGTTGTGATTTCCCTTCAGCCGAAGTGCAAATGCCACAAAATATAGCGGATCGGCACAGCTGTTTCACGCGTGGCTCCAGTCTCCTTGAAGGGAAGGAGAAACACCCGTGATCTGTAACCCTAAGGAAACAGAAGCCCACACGAACGTCCACTTCCCATGTGGGAAATTAGCCCCAGCGCCATAGATGGGTCATAAGGAGAGCAGCCAAACAGGGGGCAGAATCAATGAATTTGTTACTCGATTAACAGTGCAGTCCTAAACAGAGGAACAGGGCCGGCTCTCTCACTAGGTGAACTAGGCGTTTGCCTAGAGCGGGCTGGCCCTTAGGGGCACCAAACTGCACCCGCCCCCCCCACCAAAAGCCCCCCTACCCAGCACAGCCCATTCCTGTGACCTGCCAGCCCGTGGGAGGCTCCACCGGCAGGGGCTGTGAAAGGCGCTGGGCAGCTGGGTGAGGCAGCAGCCGGGCAAAGTTGGTGCGGAAATCCTCTGGCCACCAGCGGCAGCACCCAAATGAGGGGGGCAATGCACAGGGGGAGGGGGCGGCGCACGGGGGCCCCCAGAAGGGATCCTCGCCTAAGGTGCAAGATAAGCTGGGGCTGGCCCTGCAGAGGGACCCCCTTCTAAACCCACTGGAGTCAATGGTCTTAGAACGATACAACCTTGTTTAGGATTGCCATTCCAACCCCGGAGTGGGGGGAAGCAGTTAGGGTTGCCAGCTCAGGGTTGGGAAATACCTGGAGATTTTGGGGGTGGAGCCTGAGGAGGGAGAGGTTTGGGGAGGAGGAGGAGAAGCTCAGCACAGCAGGGTATAATGTCACAGAGTCCGCCTTCGAAAGTGGCCCTTTTCTCCTGGCGAACTGTTCTGTGTTGCCTGGAAATCAGTGTTAATCCCCGGGGGATCTCCAGCTACTACCTGGAGATTGGCAACCCTAAGCAGTCTTCTGGTTTTGGGTGAGTTATACATCCCTAGAAGGCACAGTCTTGAGCAATTCCTCTCTGGTGCGCAAGAGGAGGAAGAATGCTCCCCCTAAAATGAGACATTTTTAAAGTTTATGGGGTTGCATGTTTAATACATGAAATTCCCCCCCCCTCCTCCTCTTGATGTCTTTGTGGCCTGTTTTTCTGTGCAAGGCTCTTTTATGGACTGCTGGTTTTAATCTGTAGATTGCTTTCTGCATGGGAGTTCAGTTCTGACAAATTATTTCAGGCCCACTGTTTTATATACTAGTATTCTTTTTGTTTTTGTTAGCTGCCTCCAGGGGATGTTTGGAGAGGAAAGAAGACAAACGCACTAAATGCATTTAAAAAGGTTAATAATGGCTTTCGAAAGTTCTGCCTCCATTAATCAGACACAAAAGGGTTTTTTAATCTTATCAGTCGGCTAAACCCCGGCTACGATGCCGTGTGTCCCTGGTGGGGTTTATATACTTTATCTGCTAGTATCAAGGGGTGGCCGCGTTCATCAGTTTTAGCAAAATGAAACAGGAGGCCCAGTAGCACCTTTTAGAAGGTGAACCAAATTAATTTCGTGAGCTGCTGAGGAGAGTTGAACTGGAAACCAGTGACGTGATCATCTTTTGTCAAAAGCACCCTGGCATTACTTCAGGGAACCTGGGCAGGGTTTCTAGGCAGTCTCTCACTGAAGTACCAGACAGGTTCATACCTGTTTCAGAGATGAAAGTACATCACGGTACCTTCTTCAGCTATCCTCTGGGCATGAAGAGGAAACCGCACATACAGCTGTGCTCCCAAGTTTTGGGAAGTCCCATCACACCTGTGTGTCTGGCAGCTGCTACGTGGCACTAAAGCTATGCCAATTTCCTGAAAGTTTCCTTTTCACATATTTAGGGCCTGGTAGGGCACGTTTTGAAGGCCAGCCCTCAGCCATTAAACAATTAAGGAGTTCTCAAAGATGGACAGAGAGCACTTTCCTTCCCTCTGTATAAAAATGACTAGAACCAGACTGCATGTATCTGGAGCTGAAGGAAAAGTTTCCAGGTCAGAGGAGATGGCTTTCAGAAGGCTGAAATCTCACCACCTTTCGAGGTAGGGTTTGAACGCTTAGTGCAGGGTTGAAGGGAAAAAAATTAAATAAATGGTTTTTTGGATTTTTTTAAAGCAAAAAAAAAAAGAGGCAAACCAAAGAACAGCCAAAGCACAGGATGCTGTCTTTTTGTTGAAAGTAAAGCAGGCTTGGCACAACTTAGTTAGGGGTACTTCTTGGGCCACTGTTTAGAAAAAGAGCAAGTATACATGTTACAGAGTTAAAGCAAGAAAGCAAGAAAAGGGAGGAGGTACAAGAAAAAAAATTCTTACAAGGTTATCTTTCCCTTGGTCATGAGGCCCTGCTAGATGACCTTGGGAAAAGACACTCCCACCTGGCTCATATTTGCGATAGATAACTATCTCTGTAACCCATGTCACTGCTGTGCAATTAGGCAACAGCTATATGGATTACAGTGACAATATATGTGATGTGCTCTAATCACTCAAAGAAGAAGAGATTGGATTTATACCCTGCCCTTCACTCTTGAGTCTCAGAGCAGCTTACAATCGCCTTCCCTTCCTCTCCCCACAACAGACACCCTGTGAGGTAGGTGGGGCTGAGAGAGCTCCGACAGAACTGCTCTTGAGAGAACAGCTCTGAGAGAACTGTGACTGAGCCAAGGACACCCAGCTGGCTGCATGTGGAGGAGCGGGGAATCAAACCCGGTCCTCCAGATTAGAGTCCGTCGCTCTTTAACCACTACACCAAGCTGGCTCTTCACTGGCTCTCAGGAGAAGCATCTAAGTGCTACTTTTCATTTCCACCCCAATTGATTAACGGGTCTCAGAACTTGCCCCAACGGCTGCCGCGCTTTTTGTTCTGAAATAAGGCAACTTCTGTTTTCTTAAGAACTTTATTTTTTTTTTGTTTAAACCCACACACACGGCTTCAGGAAGTGACATGCAAGTATTTTTTTTGTGTGTGTCTGCTGCCTTGTTTCAATTCACAACCATAACATTAAAATTTCTCTTAGAGCAGACGACATAAATAGCGATCTCTCTGTGGGAGCACCAAAGGTGGTGGTGGTGGGGAGCAAGAGGAAGGGAGGACATTCGTGTTGGCTTAAGCGCCCGCCACTTGGCCGATTCACATAGTGGCCCAGCCACAAACAGAGAAAAGCGTGAGGGAGGGAGCTCAGGAAAAGCATATCAACCGTGCTCCTCTTCCAGAGAGACTCAGCACCCAAAATACTCTCTATATACAGATAAATCTACCAGTCACATTCGCGTTGACCCTTGGCGGCTCCACAGCGGGAAGCGAACAGTAGATACTGCAAGAGTCTTTGCCAAAGGGCCCCCAAGATGGGAAGGATTCGGGAGCGGCAGGGTTCCCCACAGCTGTGCCCCAGCCCCAAAAGTCACCCCAATGTGGGGCATTAGATCCGGGGGGGAGTTGTTTACAAAAAGGCCCTTTTGCTGCTCCCCCTAACACTGCAAAATATCCCGAGGAAGCCAATGTTCCTTTACAAAAGGGACTGCCGCTACTTCTCCCTGAAATGTATATCAGAAAAGAGGACCACAGACCCCACCCACCTCGAAAAAACTGTGTGTGCAAAAAGTGGAATGCCCCAGAATCCCAGGGCAGAGGGGGGGGGAAAACATCCTTCTGTTGTCATTAGGAAAAGTCAGAGGTAATCCCAGGTTGAAGTCACCATTTTTCTCAGTCACCGATCACAGATCTGTAGGGGGAAAGGAATGAGTTTGTCAACGAAGCTAAGGTCGGCCCAAAAGTCAAGGCAAAGAGGCCTTGGCAGTGAGAGCCTGTATTTACCCACAAAGTGGATGGCGAGGGAAAAAAACACCCCATCTTCCATAACCAGCAAAAAATAGACATATATGTTTATATATATGGGCTTCTTCCAATGTGATAAAAGCATAAGAAGAGCCCTGCTGGATCAGGCCAGTGAGGGTCCATCTAGTCCAGCCTCCTGTCTCACACTCTGGCCAGCCAAGTCCTCTATAGGTTAAACGACAGGGCTTAGAGGCTGAGGCCTTCGCCTGATGTTGCCTCCTGGCATCAGATCCAGAGATTTACTGCCTCTGAATATGGAGGTTCCGTTTAGTCACCATGGCTTGTGGCCACTGATAAGACCTGTCTTCCTGAATCTGTCTAATCCCCTTTTAAAGCCACCTATGCCTGCAGCACCCTGACCCGGATGATCCAGGATAAACCAGTCTCTTCAGGGTTAGGTAAAGGTTCCCTTGCTCGAAAGCCAGTCGAATCCGACTCTAGGGTTGCGGTGCTCATCTCCGTTTCAAAGCCGAGGAGCCAGCGCTGTCCGAAGACATTTCCGTGGTCATGTGGCCGGCTTGACTAAACACCAAGGCGCACGGACCGCTGTTACCTTCCCACTGAAGTGGTCCCTATTTATCTACTTGCAATTTCTTGCTTTCGAGCTGCTAGGTTGGCAGGAGCTGGAACTAGAGACGGGAGCTCACTCCGTCATGCGGCACACTCGGGTCTCGAACTGCTGAACTACCGACCTTCCACAGCCTGCAGTTCAGCGTCTTAACCACTTGAGCCACCGCAGCTCCGCATCTTCAGGGTTAGGCATGGTTAATACTAGGACGGGAGGCCACCAAGGGTTGCCATACAGAGGCAGAAAATGGCAAACCACCTCCGTTTGTCCCTTGCCATGAAAACTCTATGGGGTCGCGATAAGTCAGCCGCGTCATGACCGCCTTTTCCACCATCATGCCAGTGGTGGCTGTCACTGCATCCTCCCGCAGCAAAGTCTACATTTGAATGTGATGTGTGCACGCTAGAATGGAGGGAGCGCACAGAGAGGCTACAAGGCTTTTCCTTGCCACTCTTGAGAGCTAGAAACCTGGCCTTTTCTCGTACTGTGAAAGAGGCCAACTCTATGCAGCCGTTCTGTCAAGTGGCCGATGGGGAAGGGAAGGGAAGGAGTAAAGTGCTCGCTCTCACTTTCAATCTATCAGCGATTCCTGAGCCGAATGGCCTCCTGTCTCTTCAATTGGAGCTGGAAAGGAAAAAAGAAACAGTGTAAAATAAGTGTGCGGAGGAGATCGGAGTTCTGCTATTGCGATGCTCACAGCGACAGACGGCTTGGCTAGGACTGATTAACAGCAACAAAAGGCACTCACTCGTAAACTTTTCTCGCCGCCGGCAACGAGCGTAGAATATTATTCCAAAGATGATAATAAGCAAAACGGAGGCCCCCACGGATGCTCCCACGACAATCCACCAGTTGAAGGTATCAGAGGGCTGGACGTCTCCACCTGCAAGTAGGAGGGGAAAGAAACACATGGAAGTCGGCCCGGCATCCCTGGGAAACTGATCTTTTTCTGACCCGTTCTCTACCAGCTTTGAACAGTGTGTGAGCTCATGCGTGGGAAGAACTCACAATTCCAGCTCTGAAAGTTGTTGAAGACGGTTGTAAAGAGGTGTTTGTGTGTGTGTACACCTCTTTATAGGAGCTGTGGTGGCTCAAGTGGTTAAGATGCTGAACTGCAGGCTGTGGAAGGTCGGTAGTTCAGCAGTTCGAGACCCGTATGTGCCGCATGACGGAGTGAGCTCCCGTCTCTAGTTCCAGCTCCTGCCAACGTAGCAGTTCAAAAGCAAGAAATTGCAAGTAGATAAATAGGTGCCACTTCGGTGGGAAGGTAACAGTGTTCCCTGCGCCTTGGTGTTTAGTCAAGCCGGCCACATGACCACGGAAACGTCTTCGGACAGCGCTGGCTCTTCGGCTTTGAAACGGAGATGAGCACCGCAACCATAGAGTCGGATTCAACTCCTGCCAACGTAGCAGTTCAAAAGCAAGAAATTGCAAGGAGATAAATAGGTGCCACTTCGGTGGGAAGGTAACAGTGTTCCCTGCGCCTTGGTGTTTAGTCAAGCCGGCCACATGACCACGGAAACGTCTTCGGACAGCGCTGGCTCTTCGGCTTTGAAACAGAGATGAGCACCGCAACCCTAGAGTCGGACTCGACTGGCTTTCGAGCAAGGGAACCTTTACCTTTTACACCTCTTTATAACAGTCTTCAACAATTTTATAAGTATATATATATATACGTGTGAGTATGTTTGTAAATATATATATCACTGGGAGTGCTGCACCCCAAGTCCATCAGCCTCCCCGTGACCTGGTCTTTTGACCCCCCCCCTTTAAAAATTGAACAGCTGCACGAACCCTGCTGCTTCCTGCATCCTCTATGATTTGACTGGTGCCCCCTAACCCAAAGGTTACCCTGAGTTCCCCTGCCTCAAACACAGTTACCAACACAGATTCGAGTCCAGCAGCACCTTAGAAAGGAACACGATCCAGGGCCTATCAGCTTCCTTCATCAGGTATACGTCAGGGATCTCCATTCCTACACGCATCTGACGAAGGGAGCCCTGACTCTCGAAAGCGGATACCCTGACATTCTTGCTGGCCTCGAAAGTGCAACTGGACTCTTATCTCGCTCTTCTATAAGGCTGCCGGCTCCTCCCTGGCCAACGGTGGGGGGTGGGGGGTGTCGGGCTGCCAGATTCAGGATGGAAAACTCCTGGAGAGGGGCACTAAGTGGGGTGCAAGAGGCCACAGAGCCCACCCTCCAAAGCATCCATTTTCTCCAAGCCGACTGATCTCTGTAGTCTGGAGATGAGCTGTAATACTGAGGGACCCCCAGGCCCCACCTGGAGGCTGGCAACCGTACTCTTCTACAGCAGACGAACATGGGTGACCCTCTGAAACCGAGCAGTTTTTGCCAACCATCCCTGTAACAGAAGTTCAGTGTGGCCAGTTGAGGCTTTGCATGGCCAGGAAAGCACTACCATTCCCATCAAGCCTGCATGAAAGAGGCGGGTCCTTCTTCAGGAGGCCTGTGGCCAGCCCCAACTTGCCCTGTTCAGAGGCCCTGGCAGCGTGTAACCAAGGTGCCAGTCCCAGTGTGTGTTGGGTATGGTTTGGTGCACACCTACTCACACATGGGTAGCCTGATCTTGGAAGCTCAGCAGGGTCAGGGCTGCTTAGTAGTTGGATGGGCCAGGGCTCTTTTTGTAGAAAAAGTCCAGCAGGAAGTCATTAGCATAATAGGCCACACCCAGCAGCAGAAACTCATTAGCCTATTAGGCCACACCACCTGACCTGACTGCACCACTCATTAGCACATTAGGCCGCACCCCCATGTTACCAGAGGTGTGGTCATCCAGCCACACCCACCTTTTGCTTCTTATTCTGTTGACCTTGTTTGTGGGCTCTTTTTGTAGCAGGAACTCCTTTGCATGTTAGGCCACACACCCCTAATGTAGCCAATCCTAATGAGTTCCTGCTGTTGGGTGTGGCCTGTTATGCTAATGAGTTCCTGCTGGGTGTGGCCAACTCGGGCGCCAGCCGGAACTCCGTTCCTGTGCGTTCCTGCCCAAAAATAGCCCTGGGAGACCCCCAAGGAAGCCCAGGGCCGCTATGCAGAGGGAGGCAATGGCAAGACCACCTCTGTTGGTAGCTCTACTCTTGAAACCGCTCTGGGGTCGTCCTAAGTGGGCTGTACTTTCCATACAGACACACTCACTCACACGTGGAGCAGAAGTCGTTCTTGTTCTGGATTTGGCACACGTCGCAAGCCATACACTTTTCCAGGTCCGGACTCCAGGAAAGGCCTCTGGGACATGTGGTAGCTGGTGGGGCCACAGAGAGAGAGAGAGAAAAGGGCATTTTTAAATTTTTTATTTAAGTTTAGACTTTATATCCCGCTCGAACCCCCTTTCTCAGGGGGTCTCTGAGCGGCTTACATATGGTGCTAGTCACACAAATTACCCTAACTATGGTGCTTCACATGCCAACACCAGCAGCTGAGAAGCCAACAGCATTTAATTGGACACTTAAAAAAAATCGGTCTTTCAAAGTGGGGGCCAAAGTGGGGGGGGATGTTTTTGCCTCATCAGCACATTTACTTGGGAGTCAGGCCCCTGGCGATCACCGAGGCTTTAATTTCCTGGCTGGGGGAGGTGGCCATAAAATCAAACTTGGGCCTAGAAGAAAGGGGCAGGCGCGATCAAAGGGGAGCAGCGGAGCCAGGAGCAAGCCGGAACACGAAGCGAATTAACAGCTGAATGCAAACGAGGGAGAAAAGAGGGGCGCCCCTCCTCCCCCTCGCACGTCGCCCAGGCGACTCCCCCCCC